TGGGAGGCAGGTCCTGCCGGGCTCCAGGGCAGGGGGGCCCATTGTGCCCCACAGCTTTTACAGCCCCGCTCGCAGCTGAGCAGCTCTGTGTGTATCCAGCGCAGGGCGGATGCTCTGCAAAGTCAACATTCCTGACCACGGGCACCTCTGTCAGTCACTTCCACCAGCAATAAACTCCAGGGCCAAAGATCAGGGCATGCCAAGAAGAGCACGTGCCTCGTGTGTTGCACATTGCAGACACTTCAAATATTTGCTGCAAGTGAAAAATGAAACGATCCTTTTGTAACTCTTCCAAAGTGCAGTGCTTTTATGACCAGCACAGTGATGCATCTACACGGCTGAGCTTGGGCAGTGCTGGTAGCCACAAGTTTAGGATGTGCTTGTGTCCCCGGGCACTCCTGTGGGGTCCTCTTGATCCTGAAAGAGAGAGAGAAGGTGGAGCAAAGGTTGGGCTTTCTCTCCTCCTTTCCCTTCTCTGCAGGAGCATCTCCAGCCCTGCTCTGGGGGATCCTGAGGGCACATGGGGCTCCACAGCCACGGGCCCTGTGGGTCTTCCGCAGAGCTGCCTGAGGACCTTCTAAAATGGCTCTTGTTCTTGCCCGCAGGACGTGGAGCAGAGGAATGGGGACATAACGTACGGGCAGTTCGCGCAGCTCTACCGCAGCCTCATGTTCAGCGCCCAAAAAATGGTAAGAGCTGAATTCTCTAGGGGCAGGGAAGGAGAGTGGGGTTTGTTACTGGGCATTTTCTGTTAACTGCCTTTTTAACCTGGCCTCCCTGGGCCAGGGAAGACAGGGAGCAAACACATTTTTGCTGTAGTGTGGCTAGCACAGCGCTTTGAGGGATGCGTGGGCACTAGCTGCAAGGCTGGCAAAGCAAGACAGGGCCTGGGACACTGCTGGGAGCGGTGGCACAAGGAGGACAGGGAGGAGGGAGGGCCAGGCACCTGTGGCTGCTCCAGGAGACAGGGGTTGGCTGGGGTTGCCTTCATACAGCACCAAGGGCTGCTGTCCATGGCGCAGATCTGCTGCAGCCACCTGAAAGGGTCCAGGAGCTCAGGGCCATAAAAAGAGCTCCCTGCTATGGTCACCTCCTTGATCAAGTCACACTTTCACACACACTGGTGACACTGCTGCAAATCTGATGTTTGTGCTTTTTCTTTTGCAGATGGACGTCCCCTTCCTAGACAGGTGGTTAATTCTCTCTGCTTGCTGGGGAAGGGGCAGTGCTGTTTCCTTTTGCTCCCAGCATGAGTGGGTGTCTGCAGCAGCCTGCCCGGTGCTGCACACCCCTTGCTTGTCACAGTGCTGCTGCCGGGGTTGTTTTTTTTGTGTTTTGTGAATCAGCCTCTGCCCTGTAGACGCAGGTCAGTAAGGGACTCCCTTACTCCCAAGCGTCTGGCTGAGAGCTAGCTCGGCTCAGCTGCATCCAGCACTTGGCAGGTGTTTTGTGTGAAATAAATGAGATTTTTGGGCTGCTTCCCCAAAGCTACCTCGTAGCTGGTGCTATTGGGCCGCTGCACCAGGGCCTCGCAGGGCGGCAGCAGCGATGGGCCCCGCTCCAGGCGGTACCATCGCCAGCTGTGCCCGTCCCTGACCTGTGCACATCTCGGCTGTGAGAAAGAGACTCCATTTAGACATGGAAGCTAAAGAGCAAAAGACTTACTAGCTTGTCCAGGTAATTTTACATGGTTCCCTCTCTTTTTTATTTTCCCATATAACCATAGAAGAGAGTTTGGAAGGGCCCTTCTGGTTCATCCCTGTACCCAAGGCAGTCAGACTGCCCCATGCATTTATTTTTTTCTCCTGGTAGTACCCAGCATGTCCCTGTCTGTCCAGCGCAGCCTGGTACTCTCAGGAACAAGTAGTATTTTGAGATAATCAGCTGCAAACAGTCCCTGCTGCTTCCCCAGCAGTTCCTCGAGGCCGTGCTTTCTGGATGTCTGTAGGTCTGTTGTGTCCACAACCACCCCTTGACTGCCCCGCACCTACTTAGTTCTTTTCCCTTTTGTGCAACTCAGTCCCTCTGGCTTCCTGCTTGTTTTTGCTGCTCTCCACTGGAGTTTCATGCTCGCCAACCCTTGCTGGGGTGACCTCTGGACTGCTCGAGGTGCCCCTCTCTCTGGGATGTGGACACGTAAGCTCAGCTGCTGGGCGTTTGCCATCCCGCCCCCGTGGCTTGCAGGGGGACGTGGTGTGTGTCACCTGCGTGTGCTGGGCTCTTCCCCACGTGCTCCTCTCGTGCCGGCGGCTGCTCTTTCGTGACACGTTGTGACACTGCTTGAAGCCTCTCTTTCTTCTCTCAGAGGTGGAGAAAGGTCCGAACACTTCAGGGTGTCGCTGCTGGACTTCCAGAAGTTCTTGCTGGAGTGCCAGATGGTGAGCAGTGGGACATGGGGCAGCCCGTCACATCCTCAGGGGTCCTGCGCTCGGGCGGGTGGCTTTGACCTGCAGCTGGAATGATCAGGTCACAGGGAGCTCCTCTGGCCCAGGTCCACCACTGAAGAGCGCCTTCAAAGGACAGAAATGGGTAGATAAGTGTGGCCTCAACCAGGCACCCTTGTCAGAGAGGAGATGGAGAGCAGAAGGTCCCTGAGCAAGGCAGAGGCAGCAGGAGCGAGGAGCTGGGGAGCAGAGGTTTGCCGAAACCCTGAGGTTTTCACTGATACGGAAGGAGCCAAAGTCCCGAGCAGCAGCATCTGCCCAGGAGCCCTCAGTGGACATGAGAAGCAGCCGCCTGATTTGGCTGGCGACCTTCGGCCGG